ATATTTAAAATATTTAAAAATAAATATTTAATATTAATAAAAATAAAATTTGTATGTAATATACCTGTACGAATCAGGCATTGCCATAAACCAAATGGCGATAAGCAATTGCTTCTCCTCCTATATTGGCTTTCTATTACGAAGATTATTATTAATAGCACATAATCCAGGCCCAATTATTATCAGTACCATTTCAAATGTTTGAGGAAACATTCTAAAAAAAGTTTAACGTATAAAACAATATGCATTAAAATAATATTCAATAATTTTTGTTATTTACAGCTGTCATATTTCTAGGTTATGGTAATATTATTTAATGAAAAATTTCGTCCTATTTCTTAATTTATTCAATTATTACTCACCGAAAATGTTCTTTGAATACTGTTTTTGCACAGCCGGGAATAACTCTTTCGACATAATCGCTTAATTTTTCTGAAATGATCATTTCTCCCCGCGCGTAGTATCAAGCATTAAAATAAAATATAATATTTCTAATTCTTCATTTAAACACAACTCTTTATTTTCATTATCGCTATCAGACTCATCACTGCTGTTAGAAATGTTTTCAATCTCTTCATCATTATTTAAAATGATTGAAATTATTACACTCCCGATTTTGTTATCCATGTTTTTATATCTCACAGCGTACCATCAATCTGCATCAAACGCATTCAATAGTTCCGTTTCTGAACGCGCATACTGCGCATTAATGAAACGGAACGCTATCTATGCGCGTAGCGCATTGTCTGTTGTCTATGCACTCGATACGAGAAACGGAACGAACCCCAAATATTAAATAAGGACAATGAATGCATCATACACGTCATGCGCGATACGGAACGCATCTTTAAGCGGGGAGCACAGACTCTTGCATAACGCATAACACATGAGGCATAAGAAATTGAACCAACCAGAGTTCTCTATTACATGGAAGGAAAAGAAACAGAGAACTTCAATTGGTACATATTCTTATGCATTACGTGTAAAGGCCCGTCTACAATACACGGAGTAAGAAGTAAGAG